ATATTTTTATAAACATTAGAGTTTTATTGGTTATAATAATAATTAAATTATTTTTATTTTTAAATTTTTTATGTTCAAAAAATTACCAAACTGCAAACAGATCATATCTGAATCCAATTCCACACGCAAATCTTTCCCGTTTACGTATAGCCCTAAACCTTCATCTTTATAGGCAAAACAACAACAAAGAGAGAAGAATTGGGATAAAAAAAGCATTTGCCAAAAGAGTATATGATTTTGGGGGTGTTTGGAAAAGTTTAAAAAGTAAATTTATTTTAAGTAAATTCATAAATTCATAAATTTATTAAAAAAATTTAAAATTAACTTTTTAAAATAATATTTTAAAAATTAAAAAAAACACACACACACATCCAAATTTTCTCAAGACGAATTTATATTTTAAACTCTCCCAACCACCCTCTTTATCCTTATATATCCCTTGCCATATATGCCATCATTTCAGCAAGCATGGCCATTTAAAAATTTTCACCATTTTTATATGCTGTTTTTTTTTTTCTTTTTTTTTGTCACTATTTAGTAGCTGTGTCATTAATTAAGCGGGGTATATCTCCACTGGATGCAAAATGATAGCTGCATTACTCTCAAGATTGACAGCAAAGCAAAGAGATGCCATCTTACATCATGACTAAAACCTATTAAATTGGTTGTGGGCCAAACTAGTTGCTCTGCTCTGCATTCTTGAGCAGGATAGAAGCCTGCCATACCCATATATGAAATTCAAGTGCTTCTCTCTCATCCCCGTAGTATTTCAATTTCAATTTGCTTCTTCTTTTGATCTTTTCTAAACTTCCTTTGCCTTTTAGCCATGAGAGAAGCTGCAGCAGGGCAACTATCACTTGCAGGTTAGTTAAAATTATGGTTTTTAAAGTGTTTGAATTAATTATTTAAATATAATTAATAGTCAATAATTACTATCTGATAATTATAATAATTATTTTTTTATTTATAATGTAAATATCTAATTTATTTGATTAAAAATAATATATGATAACCGTTTTTGAAATCCCAAACCAAACACCCATTTTTAATCAATCAGATGAAATTCAAGTTAATTATGTGCATGTTAATTATAAAAAAAACCAGCTCAAACAACTTATCAAACATTTCAGAAAGTTGTGGCGAGTTTTAAATTTTATACTGATTTTGTGTTTCTTGCCAGTTGAGGAGACTGAAGAGGCAAACCCAACTGAAAATACAACACCTCATCGGAAAGATATTCATTGGTGGATTCGAATATGTATGTATATCGTCTTTGTCCTGGCCGGACAGGTGGTGGGAACACTATTGGGGAGACAGTACTTCGACAAAGGAGGAAAGAGCAAGTGGTTGGCAACTCTAGTGCAGCTCGCCGCTTTCCCAATTCTTATCCCCTTCTACTTCTTCTCACCGACACCGCTCAGAAACCCCACCAAAACAAGCAACAATATTATCAACACAAAACCACCACCGGTAACCAGGCTTGCGGCAGTTTATGTCTCCCTCGGCCTGCTTGTGGCGGTGGAGTGCTACTTGTACTCAGTTGGGTTGCAGTATCTTCCCGTGTCTACCTATTCCCTCATCTGTGCATCCCAGTTAGCATTCAATGCCCTGTTCTCGTATTTCCTCAATTCCCAGAAATTCACTCCTCTCATAGTGAACTCTCTCGTCCTCCTCACCCTCTCCTCTACCTTACTCGTGTGGACTGGGAACTCTTCAAGCACCGGTAGCAAAATTTCCAGAGGAAAATACATTATCGGCTTCTTATCTACCGTGGGGGCATCGGCTGGGTTTGGCTTGGTTCTCTCCCTAACCCAACTCTCCTTCCAGAAGGTCATCAAAAAGCAGACTTTCACGGCAGTGATGGATATGATAATCTACCAGTCAACGGTGGCGACGGCTGCCATTTTAGTGGGGTTTTTTGCCAGCGGCGAGTGGAAGGGATTGAAAGGAGAGATGAAAGGGTATGAATTGGGGGGAGTATCATATGTTATGACTTTAGTGTGGACGAGTGTTTCGTGGCAAATATTTGCAATTGGGGCGGTGGGGTTGATATTTGAAGTGTCGTCTTTGTTCTCCAATGCCATAAGTGCGATGGGACTTCCAGTGGTTCCGGTGTTGGCTGTCATCTTCTTCCACGAGAAGATAGATGGCATAAAAGTGATTGCTCTTATCTTGGCCATTTGGGGATTTGTTTCATACATATATCAACACTATCTCGATGATGCTCAAGAGTCCGAAAATCAGAAGGAAGTTGAATTGAAGAAATGAAATCATTGTTACTCGGTTGCAACTATTTCTTCTTTCTGCTCTTAAAAAAACCCCATAGGAGATGATAATTTTTACTATTATTGCGTATTTTCATTAATGTTTTGGGATTAATCAACATCAATTTCACTAAGCTCTTTTCATCCCTTTTTAGCTGTTTTCATTAGAAATTAAACTTTGTCCTTGAGGGA